TCAATGATAATTGAATGCACCATACAAAACTCATCAAAGCGCCTGCCTTGCAAGCACAAGGTCGTGAGTTCGGTTCCCGGTACCGGAGAAAAACCAAAAAAAAAAAAAAAAAGAAAAAGACTCACTTTGTAGCCCAGCCTGGCCTCAAACTCACAGTGATCCTCGTGCCTCAGCTTCCCGAGTGCTGGGATTACTGATGTGCACCACGACACCCAGGTGATCTTGAATTTTCTTTTTTTTTTTTTTTTTGCGGCACTGGGGATCGGACTCATGACCTTGCACTTGCCGGGCAGGCGCTTATGCCACTGAGCTATATCCCCAGCCCTGATCTTGAAACTGTTTTGAAAAACACTTTTCTTTCTTTTGCAGCATTGGGAATTAACTGAGGGCTTTGTGCATGCTAGGCAAGTACTCTACCACTGAGCTGCAGTCCCAGCCCCTTTTCGCTTTTATTCTGTCCCAGCATCTTTCAGTGTTGCCTAGGCTGGCCTCAAACTTGTGATCTTCCAGCCCCAGCCTCTCGAGTGGCTGGGATTACAGGCATCTGCCACTGCACCTGGCTTAAAAAAAATTGAAAGAAACTTGACCCCAGTGTTGCAGTGCTTAACAGTACACTGTACAGGAATGTCTTTAGCCGTGGCCAAGAGGCAGTTGTGCAGGTATTGTGGATCATCCCGTCTTATAGCTCTAGAATCTTCCTTCCTGGTGCTCCAGTTTGCCACCCTGGCGGCTGCAGACCTTGCAGGACTGGGGTCTGTCCCCAGCTTGTGGGGCTGCTGGGCTTGTACAGGGCCATAGAGGAGAGAGGCTCCTTTTGTTGTGGGGTGGATGACTGGGCTCCCCGAGAGCACCTGCTCATCAGTATGGTTAACGCATCTTGCCTGCTGCAGCCATCCCTGCCGCTGCTTTTAGAAAGGACTTGAGGGCCAGGGATACAGCTCAGTGGCACAGTACCTGCCTGGCAAGTACAAGATCCTGAGTTCGATTCCCACTACCAAAAAAAATAGAAAGGACTTGAGAACACATTTGTCCCAAGAGCTTAAACCCAGAATCAGGAATCTGTATTCTTCTTGTGGTCTTCCCCTGTCAGCCACTGGGAAGGCAGCAGTCAAACAGGACATGCTAACAAGACTTTGTTAACCGGCAAGACTTTTCCCCCAGAGCTCTGCATGAAAGAGGCTCTCCCTCTCTCACTTCCGGCTGTAGAGACTCATTCCGAGTTCCCCAGCTAGGCAGAGAAGCAGTTCTCGCCTGATGGGCCTGCTCCCTGCTGGGGGGCATCTCACCTGCTGTCCAAATCTCCATGCAGCAGTCCAGACTGGGACGTGTCCTTGCTGTGGGCCCAGAATTGCACCCAGCCTTGCCAGTTTCCTCAGGCAAATCTGGTGTTCATGTCAGCCACTGGCAACAAGGCATTGGAGCAGGCCCGTCAGCCTTTACTGTGTGCAGAGGGCAGCCCCAAGCAGGGCCAGCATGTTGTATAGCTCTGTGTATGGGATTTAAATAGGTGGCCCTGTCTGTGGTGACCCTGGAGTTGTGCAGATGTGACCCTGGCCTGAAGCCCAGGACCACCTGACACCTGTGCAGAGGCGGTGAATCCCACCCCCCCGCAAGCGTCCAGTTGTCATCATGCACCATGCTCCTGAGGGCCTCTCGAGAGTGGGGCTGGGAGGAGGCCTCTGCCTCCTGGAACCCCAGAACAAGCAAGAGCGCAGCAGAGTAGGGCAGGTTGAGGGGGACTCTGATTTGGTCGCCGTGGCTGCATCATTCGCTGGTGGTTCTCTTAGCTCCCTTAATTCCAGGCATTTGTAGCCCTCCTCTTTATCCTTTTATTTTTCTCTTTCAGCTACAGAGTTACTTTGCAGCATGCGAGGACGAGACCCCTGCCATCCGGAACCACGACAAGGTCCTGCAGCGCCTGTGTGAGCACCTGGACCACGCACTGCTGTACGGGTAGGCGAGGGAGTGCTGAGGGCCAGGTGGTTAGCTCAGGCACCCACCCCAGCAGAGCAGGGCGATTGGGAAGGGATGGGGTGAAGGCAGGCTGGTGCCCGGGGGGCCTATCGTCTGCAGCTTGCGGGGGTGACCCCACCCAGGCCCTAGCACAGTTGTCCTGTCCTCACAGACTGCAAGACCTCTCATCTGGCTACTGGGTGCTCGTGGTGCATTTCACCCGCAAAGAGGCCGTCAAGCAGATCGAGGTGTTGCAGCACGTGGCCACCAACCTGGGGCGCAGTGAGTTGTGGCAGGGAGACGAAGGTGGGGACCAACCAGGCCCTCCCTCTGGAGGCCAACTGCCTCGTGATGTCCGTGACGGCGGGGTTGAAGTGCTGGCCTGCTGCTTGTGGCCTCTTTTCTCCTTGTTGAGGATGCATCAGTGAAGAGAGGCATTACATGGTGGAGGACAGGACTCCACATCCCAGGCGCACACAAGGAGGAGTCATGTTTCTCTGCAGATTAGGCCTAGGATAGCCCACAGGGTCGGGGCAGCGTGCTTGCTTATCTCAGCCCGTGTGAAGTATGCCATCTGCCCTCTCAGTCTGTCCCACAGGCTCGGGCCTAAGCTCTTGGTGTACTGGTCCCTCATCCGGTCCTTCTTTCCTTACTGCCCTTGCTTGGCAGAAAACAAAAGCCACACCCTGACAGACCACCTTTGAGTTACTCCTGCCTCCGTTTGCAGGCCGGGCCTGGCTCTACCTGGCCCTCAATGAGAACTCCTTGGAGAGCTACCTGAGGCTGTTCCAGGAGAACCTGGGCCTGCTGCAGAAGTACTACGTCAGGTGAGTGTCTGCTGTGTGCCAGGAGAGGCCTAGCCTGGCATCCCTTGCTGAGGACGCAGCACTGATGGCCAGAGAGCCGCAGCAGGCTTGCTGGCAGTGTGGTGGCTTCCTCGAGGAGTGCTGAGGTCCTGCCTGGGCTCCTGTGTACAGTCTCGTGTTCCATCTGCCTGACCGTTCGCCCAGACCTCAGGCTGACTGAATGTTCCTCCTTGGCCTCAGCCTTTGCCAGCATTGCTTCAGGGACAGAGTATTTATAGCTGCTGCTGAGAGCCTGCTCGCCTCGTGCTCCAGGCCTGTCTCTGGAGCCCCTGGCAGGCTAGACCAGTATGGAGAACCCTGGAAGGAAAGGCAGGACGGCTATGTCACACTGGGTGCCATTCGGGTGCTAGGGCTGTTGTGTCCAGTTTCTAAACACTTGACTCACTGTTAAGGTTGAGCTCAGCTGGTAGCCAGACCCAGAAGCACCATCGTTCCTTCTTATATCTTGCAGGAACGCCCTGGTCTGCAGCCACGATCACCTGACTCTCTTCCTGACCTTGGTGTCTGGGCTGGAGTTCATTCGCTTCGACCTGGAGCTGGTGAGACGTCCTTCCTCTGGAAGAAACAGAGGATGGGGCAGTGGAAACAGGGGGCTTCATTTTTCAAGTCCTTCAGGGAGATTGCTGGCCATCGTGAGCTTGAGCAATGCCTGTTTGTTCAAGTGAGGGAAGGGCTTCCAGGTCAGTGGAACTGAATGGAGGGGATGCTTCTCTCTCTTGCCCTACTGATGGCAAGAATTCCTGGTTCAGGTAACTTCTTCCTATCCCTTTCCAACATGGTGAAAAGCCACATTGCCTGGGTATCTGATCCCCGGAGGATTTGCCTTCATGTTTAGGATCTAAGTGTGTAAGAGGGACAGTGTGAGTTTATCCCTGTGTTTCCTAGAATTCTGGCAAGTGGCATTGGCCCCATGCTTCCCACCCAGTGTACTCCCTGCTGCCCTTTTCAGACTCCCTAGCCTCCTTCACTCCGTGGACTGTGCAGTTATACGGCCGTCTGCGTGGGGCACACACCCTGAGACCTGTGACTGCCTGAAACCGCAGATAGTGCCGAACCCTCTACACACCTCTTATAACGTTAATTCAGAAATCAGGCATAGGGACTGGGGATTTAGCTCAGCGGCAAAGCGCTGCCTGGCAAGCGCAAGGTTGTGAATTCGGTTCCCGGTACTGGAGAAAAACCAAAAACTAAAAAAAAAGAAATCGGGCAGAGTAGGTGATAATAGTCATAGCTAACAGTAAAACAGAAAAATTATAACCGAACAAGTTATTTAAAACTTATGGAGTATTTATTTCTGGAAGTTGCCACTTAATATTTTGGGACTGTGGGGAACTGAAGCCACAGAAGGTGAAGCCATGGACACACGGGAGCCCTGTGCACAGGCAGAGTGCTGTCCCCCAGGGGCTTCAGAGCACTTCTCGGGCTCAGGCTCGTTAGAATGAATGTGCTGCTCGTCTTGACTAAACTACCTTCCCTGGTCCCTGTCCTAAAGCACACGCTGAAAAAGAAGCTTGGCAGTAGTAGGACTTGAAGAAAATGAGCGGTTTTAATAGAGAGAAAGATCGAGGAGGCATCCCAGGGCATTTGTGGGCTCTGACAGCTCCTTCCTGTGTGTGGGGGTGGTGCTGGGGTTGGAACCCAGGGCCCTGCACATGCGCGGCAGCACTGTCACCCAAAGTGCACAGCTGTGCAAGCCAGACCCCTTCACCATACTCTCTTCAGCAGCTTGTCTCTGAATTTACTACATTAACCCACTGATTTTCCCGAAGAGAAAGAATAGGGGAGAATGTGACAGATCTGTGCCTCCCGATCTTGGATTCTGCTGTCCATGGAAGGTTACATTGTGTGGCCCACCTGAGGCCCCTTCTGAACGTCCCTCTCTCCTTCTCTCCCCAGGATGCCCCTTACTTAGACCTGGCCCCCTACATGCCTGACTACTACAAACCGCAGAACCTGCTGGACTTTGAAGACCGCCTCCCTAGCTCAGTCCACGGCTCGGACAGCCTGTCCCTTAACTCCTTCAACTCTGTCACCTCCACCAACCTCGAATGGGATGACAGTGCGATTGCCCCATCCAGCGAGGGTAAGTGGCCCCTGGGGAATGGAGCCGCACTTCTGCCCTGTCACGGACCGTGGAGCTGCCTCGCCCTGGCCGAGTGGTGTCTCCCTGGCAGCCGTGCTGTAGTGGTCAGACTGCAGTTGGACAGCACTGGCTGTTTCTCAGATCTAGATTTCCTCAAAGTTCCTGTGGTGGCTAAAAAATGGATTCCAGTCACAAAAAAGCGGAACAGGATTTTATGAATTTTAGATACTTTTCCTGATAGTTCTAGGCACACACCCAGGAAATTATCTGAGCAGAGAGGGATTAGCAGCAGTGTGCCCCGGAAAGGCGCCTGGCATCGTCAGGGTGAGTGTTGCCTGCTTCGGGAAGGTCGTCCTACCCTAGGCTCCAGGCAGGAAGTGGCTGAGCAACCCTGGGAGGAGGCAGGAGAGGGCGCACAGCACAGGGCACACTCACGGTGGTCTGTCGTGTGCCCCTCGTACACTTGCTGTGTGCGGATGCTTGCGCTGTTGCGTCAGAAACTGAGGGAGAAGCTGTAGGTCATGTCTTGATCCTGCAGTTATTAGAACCGCCTGGTTTTTCTCAAAGCTTAGGCCTCCGTGTTCATTTGTAAAAGCGGCCGTCTCCCCCACTTTATCCCCACTGGGTGCTGTCACATCATTGAAGGGAAGGGGATCCGAGCACAGGTTCAGCGCCCAGGCTTCAGAGTTGCCTCAGCATCAAGACCTTGACCTTCTTCTTTCTCTGTTTCTGGCTGGGCTATGGGTCATATGTCCCAGGAGGGGTCACTTTCCCATTTGCTGTCTGCAAAACCTCCCTGCTTATTGTGCAGGCAGAAGACGGCAGCTCAGTCTCCTTGGGTCAGCCTCCTGGTCTGCCTTGAAGAAGCAGCCTGACCCCATGGTCTGTCTCAGGCTCCTTGAGCCCCTCTCATCTCAGCAGTTTAGACACTGCAGCTGGAGACAGATGCTAGGCAGGACTTCGTTACCCCGAGGGTTCAGAAGGAAGGGAGCTAAGGGATAGAAAAGGAGGTTAGGTGCGAGGGAGCCGCGGCTTTTCTCTGCCATAGCCAGACTCTGGGTTTGGAAATGAACGGCCCCCAAAGCTTCCCCAAGGTCAGAGGCCCTGGGGTGAGTGCCTGAGCTGGGCCTCCAGGCTGCTAGGAAGTTCCCTGAGGTCGTCAGAGGAAATGCGGAAAGTTCACGTTTTCCCTCTCTTATTCCCCCCCATGGCTCCCACCCATCACCCCTACCCTCCTCCTTCCACTGCCTGTGTCTCTAATCTTCAGTTTTGTCCCTCATTTTTGTAGATTATGATTTTGGAGATGTGTTTCCAGCAGTGCCGTCTGTACCCAGCACAGACTGGGAAGGTGGGACAGAGTCCTCTGGGACCCTCTTTTCCTGTTCTGCAACGTTTCCATGCCAAGCTTGCTGCATGTTTCAAAATCAGCTCCTTATTATTTATAATAATAATGTCCATGATCATAATAAGCCACTCTGGTGCTCTAACAGATGGAATTCTGCAGCAGGAGAACTTGGCCTTTTGCCCTAGGTCACTCCCTTCTCCCAGTGCAGGGGCCTGGGGTGTCACTAGGTGTCTGCATAAGGGGATGCCAGGTCACCCTCTCTGATTGTCATGCCAGTGACATTTTCATAGTGCAGGGGCACCTGCTCGCTTGTGGGGCATTGGTGGCCTGACTGAGCGAGCAGAGACTTGTTCTAGAAAGTGGTGCCTTTAAACATGTTGGGTGCAAGCTCCAGATGAGCACCCAGAAGACAGACAGAGGGCTCGATTCTTTCTCTGCAGCAGTCCATTCCTAATGTCCTTCCCCATTTTTTATTTCATTTTGGTTTTGTTTTTTGAGCAAGGATCTCGCTATGTTCCCCAGGCTGGGCTTGGATTCTTCCTGCCTCAGCTTCCTGAACACCTAGGATAATAGGTATAATCCCACTGTGCTCAGCCCTCTTGAATATTTTTTAAAAGAGATTGAGAAGCCCAGCATGGTGGCACACACCTGTAATCCCAGCATTCAGGAGGCTGAAGCAGGAGGATTGTTGCAAGTTCAAGAGTAGCCTAGGTTACAAAGTGAACTCAAGGCCAGCCTGAACTGCATAGTGAGACCCTGTCTCAAAAGGACAAAAAAAAAAAAGAGAGAAAAGCAATTGAGGTCTGAGTGAGATATAGCTGAAACTTCATACAGGGAGATCCTCTAAGAGATTTTGTTTTGTTTTTTTTTTTTGGTACTGGGAATCAAACTCAGGACCTTGCACTTGCCAGGCAGGTGCTTATGCTGCTGAGCTATATCTCTGGCCCTCTCTAAGAGGTTTTAAACAGGTTAAAATAAAATCTGTCAGTCTTCCCCCTGTCCTCTGGGAAGTGCAGGGTTTCAGCATTTTTCTGCTATAACCCACTGCTGGGCTTGTCTGAATTCATCAAGCGATTCCCAGGTTGCCATCATTATTCAAAGTAGGTGTATTTCTGATACGGCAAATGCTTCCTTTTTAAATGTGAGGCCATTCCAGATTCCCCTTCTTAAAGAGCCTCCTGCTCAGGGAGCCACTTCCAGCCTGGAGGGGTGGCTCCATCCTGAGTACCAGAGACCTGATCTCTGAGGGGTGGGTGATCAGATTATCTGATCTTTCCCAAGTAGTATGAGTCTGAAACAGCCTAACTTTGCGGGAAGTAAGATCCAGCTCTGGGAAACATAAATTATTTCACTTGGCCAAGAGAGTAGCATTGCAGTCTCATTGTTTTCTTTAAATTAGCCTGGAACCCAGAATTCCATCATGACATTGTTGGCCCTCAGCCTCTATTACAGCACATGTGCTGGGCGTTGGGTTTTCCCTCTGATCTAACAACTAACCCCCTTCCTGATGTACCTGTGGCAGTCACTTAACAAAAGGGGCCTGATCTGCTTTCACAGCCCTTCAGAGCTCCCTGCGGCCTGACAACTAGCAGCCCACTTGTATGCTTGCTCAGGCCAGGCGGGGGCCCAGGGCAGGGTGGGATTTCTGTCAACCCTGACCGGCTTTCCTAAGCTCCTTGGGCACTGAAGCGTTCCTTGGCATGCCCTCGGCAGCTTGCTTGCGGAGGCCGTGGAGGAAAGGAGGACTTGAGGACAAGTCTAAACGCAGGGTCCTGGGGTGGGGAGGGGGTGACTGCTCCATGGTCTTTGGCTTCGTTCCAGAGCGGCTGGGCATCCCAGGCTTAATGCCGCCATACCCCAGGTCTGCACTCTCGCCTCCCGGGACCCCTCCCTGAGCAACTGCAGGTGTGGAGGAGGAGCAGAGGGCTGGGCGCAGCTCAGGCTTTGAGGGGTTCTCTTTGGAGTCACAAGGGACTCTCTAGAGTCTCACAGGTCACTAGTGTTTTCCTGGCAGAGCTGACGGGCCTCCCTGGTCCTTCCATCAAAAGGCAGTATGCTTTTAAACCCTGGATGAGGTGCCGCGTCACAGGCGGCTGCCGGTGGTTTTCAGATGCACTAAGAGTTTGCCAGTGGGCTGAGGCCTGCCCGGGGGCTGCGGGAAGCACATTTCCGCCTCTCCTGGGAGATGATGGCAGCAAGATGTCCCCACGCTGGCAAAGGGGGCGAGAGCAGCCTGTGCCCACTGTCACTAGGGCTTGCCCAGGCTGGTGGAGTTGTGGGGCTCACCGCTCTGCTTGCATGGGGTGCGTGGTACACGGCCTGTGTGCCGGTCACACAGGTGCCCCTGCCTGTTCAAGGGACTCGGGAGGAAGGGGGCATGTGAGGAAGGTGATGAGGCCAGCTTTCCTCTGGAGAGGCAGCAGCATCTCGCACCTCTCCCAAGGCCAGGCCACGGGCGACCGTGTGACAGACAGGTCTGCCTGAAATGCAGTCCTCAGCCCCACCCCCGCGGGCATCGGTCCGGACCCCAGGAGCGGGTGTTGGGGAAGAGCCGCACCCTGAGAGAGGCGCGGGTGTCGTGGGCAGCCCCCTCCCCTGGCCCGCTACATCTCATTCGTGGTCTCCCGGCCTGTTGTTTCCCTCTTTTCTGCCTCTGGCTCCTTCTGTCTGTCCTTCCCGCATGCCCCCCCACCTGCACCCTCTCAGCCTCTGCCCCTCGTGTCCTCTGGTCTCTTCCTCTGTTTTTCTCGTTTCTTTTTTGTTGCCTTTTGTCTGCAAGGGGCCGGTTAGAGGCCTTGGGCTACTGCTCAGCTGTGCTCATAAGAGCAGGGCTGAATGAGCTGCTGGCACTGCATCTGCAGAAGGCGGGCCCCAGGGCTCACCGTTAACCCAGAAACGGTGCCCGTCTCCTCTTCACAGCTCCCAACCACACAGCAGGTGTCAGCCACCTGCCTAAGGGCCTGAGCCTCATGGGGCCCTGGCTATGAACCTGGCCAGATAGTGGGCTCAGATGGGGCCCCAGTGGTGTGGAGGGGGAGGCCCCCTGGGTTTCTCCTAAAGCACAAATCTCTGTCCTGGCAGGTTGAGGTTTCTGCTTTTGAAACAGGTCCACCCTGGTCAGGCTTCCCCTGGGGGACTTACTGTCCCCTGAGATAAGGCACACTGTGGGATGCCAGCTGGGCTTGATAGGCTATCTCCCACCCCCTGGACCCAGCAGATGGAGACCTCACAGACACCATCAGTGGCCCTCGCTCAACTGCTTCGGACCCGACCAGCAGTAAGGCATCCACCAGGAGCCCCACCCAGCGCCACAACCCCTTCAACGAGGAGCAGGCTGAGACCGTGTCCTCCTCCGACACCACCCCGGTGCACACCACCTCACAGGACAAGGGGGAGTCCCAGGCCCTGGAGCCACCGGATGCCTGCACAGAGCTCGAGGTCATCAGGTCAGCAGGGAGAGCCAGGGAGAAATGGCCAGTGTCCTGTTTAGTCCAGGGGCAGCTTGGAGGGCAGTGGAGCATCTTCCAGAGACTGAGAAGTAGGCCCTCCCCACCCTCAGGCAGTTCTGAAGTTTTGTTGGGGTGGGGGTTTGAACCCAGGGCCTTTGCACTGAGCTACGTCCCCATCCCTTTCTAAACATTTTTTAAAATTTTGAGACAGAGTCTCGCTAAGTCGCCTAGGCTGTTTTTGTCTCCTAGTTAGGCACAGCTGGTTCAGGTTTATCCACTTGAAATCATAGGACCCGCTCAGTGCTTCCCAGGCTACTGCCCGCATCCCTCGCGCTGTCCCCCAGGCACACCCTTCTCACCCTGCCTCTGCTGGCACCAGGGACCCCTCAGGGCTTGGCCTCTCCTTCACACTGTCCAGGACCACGGAGTTTCCGGCAGTGCCCTCAGAGAGCGCGTGCCAGGGTCGCTCCCCGCCTGCCTGGTCTGTTGGGACGGCCCTTGGGTGTGCTATCTCCCCGTCACCACTCCCACAGGGTCACCAGGAAGAAGAAGATGGGCAAGAGGAAGAAGGTCAGACCAGATGAGGAAGCAAGTCCGCTTCACCCAGTCTCCAGCCAGCAGCCAGGTGCCAGGCAAGGGCATGGTGACAGCCAGGTCAGCAGCCCGGGCCTTGGGCGGGACTCGCCGGACACCACCCTCGCCTCCCCACCGGAGGAGGGCGAGGGGCCCGGCAGCACTGCGGAAAGCAGCGAGCACTCCGAGCTCGGCCAGGTGGGCCTGCTGATCCCCGAGATGAAGGACACCTCCATGGAGTGCCTAGGACAGCCCCTGAGAAAGGTCATTGACCAGCTCCACGGGCAGCTGGACCCCAGCACCTGGAGCTCCCACATTGAGCCCCCGAACCAGTCCTTTCGGACCAGCTCTTCCGGGGAGGCCCCGGAGAAACCACCGTTTTGTGACTTTAGTGAGGGGCTTCCAGCCCCCATGGACTTCTACCGTTTTACCATCGAGAGTCCAAGCACTGTTACATCAGGTGGCGGCCACCATGACCCTGCAGGGCCTGGCCAACCGCTGCATGTTCCTGGTGGCCCTGAGGCTGCTGGCCAAGAAGAGGGAAGAGGAGGAGAGGGACAGACACCTGGGCTCCTAGAGGATGCGCTGGGGGCGGCTCAGGAGCTGGAGACCCTGGAAGAGGACTCCCAGCCACCTCTGGCCCGTGAGCGACCTGGGTCCGGGTCCGAGCCCGAGCCGCAGACCCAGGAGCCTCCCTGCCCTCTCAAGGGGGACCAGCCCAGCCCGTGTCTGAGCAGCGCTGAGGACTCAGGGGTGGACGAGGGCCAGGGAAGCCCTTCTGAAATAACCCACTCCTCCGAGTTCCGGTGAGCAGATGTCCACACTGGTGTGGGAGGCTGCCGTCCCTGGAGCAGGGGACGGGGGCCTCTGACCTCCTAAGAAACTAAGCACAGCACTCTGAAGTTTGAGTCTGGGGTGGGAGGTGGGAAGAGGTGTGATCTCCACTGCCGTGACTCCCGCCCTTGCACACTGCCCCTCACAGGGTAGACAACAATCACCTGCTCCTGCTGATGATCCACGTGTTCCGGGAAAATGAGGAGCAGCTGTTCAAAGTAAGTCCCAGGAAGTGCGGGGGTGGGTGGAGACCTAGCTGGGGGAGGCGGCTGGCTGGGGTGCAGCGGGAGCCCTGAGCGCCTGTGCTGCCCCTCAGATGATCCAGATGAGCACCGGCCACATGGAAGGCAACTTGCAGCTGCTGTACGTGCTGCTCACGGACTGCTACGTCTACCTGCTCCGCAAAGGTGCCTGCCGCCCCCCACCGAGGGTGGGCTGGGGCTCAGACCTCTTTCCCAGTCCTCTCTCCTCTGAGTAGCATAGAACGATGAAAATGGCCCCCCAGGAAGGTATTGCTGGCTGAGCCTGGGGTTCTGCCCTGTGAGCGCCCCATGTCCTTTCCCTACTCTGCCATTTTCAGTGGCAGGCAAAGAGGGTCCTCCCTGTGAGGGGCCCGGGTCTTAGGCATGGGGCCAGGGGAGCAGAGGCCAAGGGGTAATAGGCATTGGGGTCTCCTCTCTCAGGGGCCACAGAGAAGCCATACCTGGTGGAAGAGGCTGTTTCTTACAATGAACTTGACTATGTGTCGGTGAGTGCAGGCTCCGCAGTTGGTTACAGGGCTTCCCGGGCCACCTACCCTCAGAGCTGCAGAGCGTGGCGTGTCCCAGGGTTGGGCACAACTGAACTCTTAGGCTTCTGGATGTGCACTGGGACCAGGGGCCAAGTGTGAAGAAAGCTTCTTCTAGGGCACAGGGCTGACTGCCCTCCCTAACTCCTGCTGGCCCCAGGCCTCAGGGGCCCAGTGACCCCAGGTGTGCTTGTTCCTTCCCTGTGGGTCTCGCCGCTTCTGCCCAGCAGTGGCCAAGCCCCACATGGTGTCTTGCGGCAGGTCGGCCTTGACCAGCAGACGGTGAAGCTGGTGTGCACCAACCGCAGGAAGCAGTTTCTGCTGGACACTGCCGATGTGGCCCTGGCTGAGTGAGTGTCAGCCCTACCCCTCCACAGGACTGGACGGCGGGCATCTGCCCCTGCGTGCTATGGCGGGGTGGAGGGCAGGACTTGGGAGACACAGAGTGGGGAGCAGATATGTTCCGTCTGGACTGTCACTAACAGACTGACCCTTGTGATCTTTGGACGGGGCGGGGGCTAGCGTGACTTATCCATCAGAAGGAAGGCAGAGAGCCCGCGGCTGGATGGGGGTGCCCTCAGACATTCACACACACGTCCTACGTGTGATGAAGCAAGGTGTATCATCACAGCTCCGCCACCCAAGGCCTGCTGACAGCACCTTGTCCCAGTTTCCTTCCAGATCCAGGTCCTCTGGCCCATTAGGGAACAGCCAGGCCTCTTCGGGTCAACATTGGATGGCCAAGGGTTCCCACCACATGGCTCCCGCCAGGCCCCTCTGCCACCTTTCCGTGGCCTGTCCCGGCAGGAGCTCTCGGGACAGAGTCCTGTCTGTTGAGTGCCTGTCTCCGGGCTCTCCCAGCATACCTCACTCCCTGAGCAGGTTCTTCTTGGCCTCTCTGAAGTCAGCCATGATCAAAGGTTGTCGGGAACCACCCTACCCCAGCGTCCTGACAGATGCCACCATGGAGAAGCTGGCACTGGCCAAATTTGTGGCCCAGGAATCCAAGTGTGAGGTCAGCAGCTGAAGATGGGCATGGTCCACGCAGGCTCGGTGGTGGGCGGCCCCTTGCGCTGGGGTTAAGGGATACAGTGCCTTCAGCCGCCAGCCCCACCCGCAGGGCGGTCCTCCTGCCTGCAGGGTGTGTCCTGGGCTAAAGCGCTTGCTCTCTGAGCACCTGCTGCTGCTGCCCGGCCAGCCACCTGCCTGGCTCAGGGCTCACCACTTTGTCCACCGTCCCCACCTGCAGGCATCCTCTGTGACTGTGCACTTCTACGGGCTCGTGCACTGGGAGGACCCCATGGACGAGGCGCTGCGCCCCGGGCCCTGCCACTGCTCGCCCCCCGAGGGCGCTGTCTCCAAAGAAGGCGTGCTGCACTACAAGGCGGGCACCTCCTACCTGGGCAAGGAGCACTGGAAGACCTGCTTCGTGGTGCTCAGGTGGGCGCCCAGCAGCCCCGTGCCCAGAGCAGAGAGGCTGGGGGAGGCGCCTTCCTCCTCCGCGAGCTTTGGGGTGGGCACAGCCCGGCCTGGAGGCCTTTCTGTGCAGCCGGGCCCCCTGCTGCCCCTCTGGACTCCTCCCACCACCCTTCCGTAGAAAACAGCCCCGGCCTCCTCTGCCTGGGCTTCGTGGCCACAGTGTAGAGGACCTCGGGGGTCTGGACTCTGCCTGGCCGCGTCCCTCGGCCAAGCCTCACCCCCTGTGTTGTGCCCTGCAGCAATGGGATCCTCTACCAGTACCCCGACCGGACCGATGTCATCCCCCTGCTCTCAGTGAACATGGGGTGAGTGTCCGGGAGATGGGTGCTGGGCAGGGGTGAGGCCGGACGCTGCTGCCCGAAGCCCACGGCCCCGGCTGAGCCTGGGCCCGGAGCGTCCGTGTTCCCTGTCCCTCCGCCAGTCCAGTCTCTGCCCCTCAGCCCCATCCACCCCACCCAGCAGTGGTCACTGAGTTTGCTGAGGTTTGTTGAGCTGAGGCTGTGAGGAGCCGAGGAGGGGGATGTAGGAAGGAGGCGCTGCCTGGGGAGGGTCCCGTCTGATAGCCGGCAGCTCCTGTGGGAGGAGGTGTGGATAAGCAGGCACCAGGGCTGAACAGCAGAGCTGAGCTGCCTCTCACACCCTCGCCTGGCCGTGTTCAGGGACCCAGAAATGCTGGCGATAAAATGAGTTACCTGGAAAGGGTGGGGCGCGAGGGTCCACCGCCCCCAGTGGTCTAGACAACCCTGGGGCTCCCACCCACCCGCATGCTGCCAGCCCACCCCTGGGGCTCCCACCCCTGCCTCCTCGCTCCCGTTTCACCCCTCCTCCTCTGGCCCAGGGGGGAGCAGTGCGGTGGCTGCCGGAGATCCAACACCACGGATCGGCCCCACGCCTTCCAGGTCATTCTCGCTGACCGGCCGTGCCTGGAGCTGAGTGCTGAGAGCGAAGCCGAGATGGCCGACTGGATGCAGCACCTCTGCCAGGCTGTGTCCAAAGGGGTGAGCGTCTCCTGCCCTGCCATTCCCCTGCCAGCACCCACCAGGAACCCCTGGGCCATCCCAAACCCATGCCAGCCACAGAGCAACCCAAGAGGACCTAGATGGGGGACCCTGGAGCTCAGGACCCCCCTTTGCCTCTCCTCACCCACACTCCTGAGGGAGCAGAGCCTGCCAGGCCCCTTGACTGGCTTCTGGTGCAGACCACCCAAGAATGCCCCTGCCCGTGCCCCAGGTCATCCCCCAGGGGGTCGCTCCCAGCCCCTGCATCCCCTGCTGCCTGGTGATCACTGCGGACCGCCTCTTCACGTGCCACGAGGACTGCCAGACCAGCTTCTTCCGCTCACTGGGCACGGCCAGGCTGGCCGACATCAGCGCTGTCTCCATGGAGCCGGGCAAGGAGTACTGCGTCCTGGTGAGCTGGGGTGCCCTGGGGGTGGCACAGGCCTTGCGGAAGGAGACCTCTGCTCAGCTGGGCCCGGCTCCCTAGGAGTTCTCCCAGGACAGCCTGCAGCTGCCCGCGCCCTGGGTCATCTACCTGAGCTGCACTTCTGAACTGGACCGGTTCCTGTCTGCACTGAACTCTGGGTGGAAAGCCATTTACCAGGTACCTAGCTGCCCGAGAGCCCCAACGGCTCCCTGCACCTGACCTGACCTCTAGGGCCCTGGGGACAGCGGGTGCCAGCAGCTGTGGGAGAGGCACAGAAGCACGGGGTGAAGCACTGACTGCACGGGTCTGTGCTGGGAACTGAAAATAGAGCTGGGAAGCCGGGAGATGCAGTTCCTGACCGAAGCCCCAGTGAAGAGCATGAAGCGGGGCTGAGCCGACCTGGGGCTGGACTGCAGGGCCCCTGCCCTGCTCCGGAGCCTAGTGCAGAATGGGAGGGCCCCGGCCCTGAGAAGGGCTTCGGAGCTGTTGCCGCAGTCAGCCTGGGGAAGCCCAGGAAGGAGAAGTTGCTCCCAGGGGAGGGGTGGAGGGTCAAGGCAGAGCCAGGACTGGCCTGTGGGGCTGGGGAGCCTGCAGCCCTCACATACCGCCGCCTGCCCCCACACAGGTAGACCTGCCCCACAAGGCGATCCATGAAGCCTCCAGCAGGCAGAAGTTTGAGGACGCCCTGAGCCTCATCCACAGCGCCTGGCAGCGGAGCGACAGCCTCTGCCGAGGCAGAGCCTCCCGGGACCCCTGGTGCTGAGGCGGAGTTCGGTGGCATCCCAGGTGGACGGGAGGGGAAGCAGGCTGAGCAGAAAGCACAGTTGTGTCATCACACCGCCCGGGAGCCAGGCCCCCGCACGCTTCCTACAGCCCCCGGCTGCACCCGGCGGCAGAACCATGAGTGTGGCTTGAGACGGGCCTCCCCACTCTCAGGGGTCCCAAGTGGTGCCCAGCACCCTGGGTATCCTGCCTGATGGGTAGTGGCTCGAGGTCGCCAGGGCAGAGGTCTGAGCCCCGTGGGCTCTGTAGACGCACACTTCCTTCCCGGGCCACCGTCTATTCAGGATGACGATGAGAATCCTTCTAAGGAGGGAGCAAAAGGACCAGGAGGGTGGGAGCCCCTTCCTCCCCTGGGTCAGGGGCCTGGGCAGAGGCTCAGGGCCTGCTGGGGATCCTGAGTGCCCAGCCACCCTTGTTCGTTTTGGAACACTCTCCTGGCTGTACAGGAGCTGGAGGACTAGTGTCTGTGCATGCTTCCTCCCTCCCCGCTGATCCACCCCACACACAGCTGCCTGCCAGGGGCCTGCATGCCCGCGGCCTGCCCTGCCTTCCCCCAACCCAGCAGAGCCGGCAGGACCCAGGGATCAGCTGGCTCCTTGTGGCAGGAGTCAAGGGGAGGGCGAGGTCCTGGCAGAGGAGCAGAGCCTACCAGCCTGGTGTCCACCTTGACATCTCCTGACGGCCCCTTGCCAGCCGGAGCCAGGCCCTCCCTGGGCTTTGTCAGCACCCTCAGGAGAAGGGGCCCATGGTTTGGGTTTTGTTTTTAAAAATAAAACAGATATGGTACATTGCCAAGACTTGTCACTGGCTGTCTCTGAGCAGGGTGAGGAGGCTGGAGAGCCTCCTCCCGTTCTGCAAACGTGCCTCCCTCGGCTGTCTTGCGTGGACAGATGGAACCGGGTCAGCCGTGGCTTGCAGGATCACGAGCCCTAGGAGGCCCTTACCCTGACCCTGCACCCCCATGTCTGCAGCTGCTGTGCAGGGAGGGGCAGTGGGCAGTCATTGTGGCCATGTGGCTAGGTCACTTCTCACACAGAGGCCCTTAGTTTTCTATCGCCATCGTACCCAGGGCCCTGGCGTTTTGGGGGAAGCAGGGGTGGGGTGACAGGAGCCAGAGGCAGGACAGACACGGCCCCCTTTTACTGGGTCGGGCGCTGTGTCGGTGCATCTTCTCACACCAGTCTCCAGAGGCCCTCCTGACGCAGGTGCAGCTGTAGCAGGTCTGCCTCATCGGCAGTGTCTCTTCCACAGCTCAGTTATGGGAGGTCCACTGGGGCAAAAAAAAAAAAACCATTCTGAGTGGTGTGATGAAATCCCCTGACCATGCGTGAGTTACTCCTCCCGCCCGTGTACCCACGCCCTTCTGTCAGATTGACTGTGGTGGAATCACAGGGCTTGTGTCCAGATAGCACTTGCCTCACCTAATAATGGTCCCAAGATGCAAGGCGAGTGCGCTCTTCCTTTCTCTGTCTCCCTTCCCCACCCCATGGAAGTGGAACCCAGGGTCTCACACACCAGGCAAGGGCTCTGCCCCGGAGCTGCACCCCTGCCCTCAGTGCTTCCTTGAAATGAATGGCGAAAAGGTGAAGCAAGGTGCCGTAGTCCACACCTGTAATCCCAGCTCTGAGGGATGCTGAGTCAGGAAGATCACAAGCTGGACTCCTACCTGGACAACTGAGATCCTGTCTCCAGATTTAAAAAAAATTTTTTTAAAAAAGGGCTGGGGATGTAGTTCAGTGCAAAGGCCCTGGGTCCAATCCCCAATGCTGTAAAAATGAATGAGTGAAGGGAATGGTGACAGCCGGAATACAGCTCAGTGGTAGAGCGCTTGCCTAACGTGCAAGGGCCTGGGATTGCTGCCCAGTACTGAAAGAAAAAAGTGAAAGTTCTCTAAGGAGGAAAGGAGACACCCGCAACAACACACGCAGTTCGGTGGTATCTGCAGTTCCAGGCCTCCACTGGGATCCTGGAAGGAACCCCCTGCAGGTGGGGGGTCACTGTGTCCCCATTGTACAAGTGAGTGGGACTGAGGCTCAGAGAGGAAGTGTTTGCCCGCTTACGCATAGCAGCACCTGGGGCTTTGCAGTAGGGTGTGTAGCGCAGGGTAGATCGCAGGCCTAGCGTGTGTGAGGCCGCGGGTTTGGTCCCCCGCTCAAAAAAGTTTAGTTCTTCAGGCCTCCCGGGCCCTTCTCTGTGTTTGCGGAACGTGGGATCATAGACTGGTAGTCAGGCCAGAACTCTGAGGTCCAGAAGGTGGAGTCACACTTTGGAGGAGTAGAGACGGGACAGCTGCAAATCTGCCCATGGGCCCTGCGCCAGGGGCTTCCCAAGACGCGCGTCCTGCATCTGGGACTCCCAGCTGGAGCAGGACAGGAAGACAAGCAGGCAGGAGGAGGAGGAGGTGCCTCTGCTGGCGCCACCTTCTCCCTGCCCCCACACTCCTTCCAGTCCCAAGTGATCTTTCCCCCAGATCCCAGGGTCCAGGCTGTGGGCCAGAGGCAGCTGGGATTGGTCAGGGCTGGAGGAGGCGGGTCCAGCCTCCATGACCCCTTCTGCTGAGCAGAGCAGGTGGATTTCCAAGATAGAGCAGGGGCCGCAGGGCAGCTGCTGCCTTCAGCTGCGACCTGTCTTCCAGACATGGGCCCGGGTTCGCTTGCTCTCCAGCCCTGCGGCCCAGCAGGAATGCAGACAGCCTGAACACCGCCAGTTTATGGCCTGACCCGTGCCCCTGATCCAGGCACACCTGGCCCCGGGCATGGAGGCTGTGGAGCCGGTTCCTCCGGCGGTGGACCTGGTGCTTGGTGCCTCAGCCTGTTGCCTGGCCTGCCTGTTCACCAACCCCCTGGAGGTGGTGAAGACGCGGCTGCAGCTTCAGGGAGAGCTGCAGGCCAAGGGTACCTACCCTCGGCTCTACCGTGGCTTGGTGGCTTCGGTGGTTGCTGTGGCCCGTGCAGACGGCCTGCGGGGCCTGCAGAAGGGGCTGGCCGCCGGCCTCCTGTACCAGGGCCTCATGAATGGTGTCCGATTCTACTGCTACAGCCTGGCGTGCCAAGCTGGCCTCAGCCAGCAGCCAGGGGGCACTGTGGTCGCAGGTGCCGTGGCTGGGGCACTGGGAGCATTTGTGGGGAGCCCTGCTTACCTGGTGAGTGTTATCTCTGTCCTTCACCCCTGACCCAGCCCTGCAGGGCTCTGCAGGCACCAGGGCTCCAGGCCTCGGGTGGGTGGGGCAAGCTGGGTGGGGCAGCCCTAGGGAACATCTGAGCCAGACTGGGGTGTGCCCCTTGGTTCTAGGGCCTTGCCCTAACCCTCGCTGCTCGGAGGTCCCCACCCGCTGGTCCTGGCCCAGGGGACAGGATGGAGGGTGGCAGCAGACGTGTGGCACATGACCTGGCTTGGTCATGTTTCGTCCTGTGTGGCCTAGTGTAAGTCAGGAGTCAAAGCTGCGGCCAGGCAAGGGCTCCTGCGTCCTAGTCCAGGCCGTGGGCAGTCATCTCACTCAGTCCTCAAGGGGTGACAGAACCGAGGCCAGAGGAGGGTAAAGGACTCCCGCCACAAAGCAAACCCAGACCCTATGCCATTCACCCCCAGGGCTCGGGGCGCTGCGCCCTCCGCACACCCAGCTCGTCCCCGAGGCTCCCTCCGACCCTCTGTGCCTTCTGCTCTCACAGGTGAAGACGCAGCTGCAGGCCCAGACGGTGGCCGCCATGGCCGTGGGGCACCAGCACCAGCACCAGGTGAGCAGCCCCTGCCCAGAGCGCCGGGCTGCAGCACTGAGTGCTCCCAGGCCGGCAGGGCACCGGTGACCCATGCCCTCTCCCCACAGAGCGTCCTGGGCGCCTTGGAGACCATCTGGCGGCAGCAGGGCCTGCTGGGGCTGTGGCGGGGCGTGGGCGGGGCGGTGCCCCGAGTCATGGTGGGTTCGGCCACCCAGCTGGCCACCTTCGCCTCCGCCAAGGCCTGGGTACAGGAGCAACAGGTGAGGGGCCGGGGGGCCACCTGCCTGCTTCCACACAGGAAGTCCAGGGTGACACGCGGAGCCCTGCAGAAAGCTGGAGCGCCATCTCTGTCATCAGAACGGTGACCTGGCCCTCGGGCCCAGTGGGGGTCAGGGTCGCCAGTGAGCTCTAGAGCTGTGAAGGAATCAGGGTTGTGGGCGGGGAGGGGAATGGCTGGAGGGGCCTAGTCTGCCCCTTGACCCCAGCCCTTCCAGCCCCCCCACCGCCCCGTGCTGGGGGTTGGGGAGGTCACTCCAAGGGTGTGAAGAGGGCAGCTGCAGGGTCAGCAGCCTATGCCGTTCCCACAGTGGCTCCCGGAGGAGAGCTGGCTGGTGGCCCTGGCGGGGGGCATGATCAGCAGCGTAGCTGTTGCCGTTGTCATGACCCCCTTCGACGTGGTCAGCACACGGCTGTACAATCAGCCCGTGGATGGAGCTGGCAGGGTGAGTGCGGGACAGGGTGGGGAGGACCGGGGAGCAGGGAGGGCCCCCAACACACACACTCATACCCACACACACAGCTGGGACATGCACCAACACCCAGACACCCTGACCGGGCTGGTGTGACGTGCGAGTCCCGGGCATGTGCTGCGTCCTTTGGCGTCTGGATTTTATTCTTTCTCCTGATGAAGAGTCTGAGGCTCAGAGACACCCTACAACTTGCCCGAGGTTACCCAGCGCTTAGTTGGGGGAGCCGAGACTGGAACCATGGCTGCCTATGGCACTGCCAGCCTCACATGTGCCCAGGACAAAGGTGCCAGGTCCACAGCCAGGTCGAGCCCCCTGACAGAGGGCTGTGCCTGCCTGAACGCCCCTCTTTCTCGCATCCCACCCCATTGGGCCCCCTGTCTAGAATCAGCCCGGCGGAGGACAGATGCCTCTTCCGACACACGGGCACACCCCGAACACACAGATACACACAGATGACAATGTTGCCGTTGTCATGACCCCCTTCCCCCCCTGGGCAGGCCCGCTGGGGCCTCAGACCCTCGCAGTGATTCCCACGCTCTGTCTGTCCCAGGGCCAGCTGTATGGGGGCCTCGCCGACTGCCTGGTGAAGATCTGCCAACAGGAGGGCCCCTCAGCGCTCTACAAGGGCCTTGGCCCGGCCTACCTGCGCCTGGGCCCCCACACCATCCTCAGCATGCTCTTCTGGGATGAGCTGCGAAAGCTAGCCAGCCGGGCCCAGCACCAGGACACCTAGGCCAGAGCAATGGTCGAGACCCCAGGCCCAGGTCCTGCACAGGTCCAGGGAAAGTGCCGACTGCTTTGGTCAACCCAGCCCCGGAGGACCAGCATCCACTCGGAATCACCACCCCTCCATCCTTGTTCTTCTCGGTCCGGGGCCAGCACACCCCAGCTCCTGGCTCCTTCTCAGGAGCCTCTGCGGCACCAGTATTGCCGGGAGCTGTGCCACTCTCCCGCTCCAGCTCGCTGGGCCCTCCGACAGCGTGACAGGCATCCTGGCCAAAGCCACGCAGCTGCGGGGCGGCAGAGCCAGGACTGGAGCTTCGCCCTGCCTGCCCGGACCTGGGCTTTTGACAAGAGTACTGCTGTACCGGGGTGGTGGGACTGGAGCAGGCCTTAGGGGCCCCTGTCCAGGTGAGGAGCCCCTGGTGCGCTCCCTGTCTTGTATCTAGGGCCGCTCTACCAGGGTGCCACGTAGTCCAGGACTTAAACACTAGAAATTTATTTTCTCACATCTGCAGGCTGCAAGTTGGAGACTCAGCTGCTGGTAGGGCTCATTTCCTTCTCCTCCCTTCTTCCCTTCCTCCTTTTTTCCTCCTTCCCTCCTTCCTTCCTTCCTTCCTTCCTCCATTTCTTTTTCTCTCTTTCTCTCTTTTTTCTTTCTTTCTCTTTCCCTTTCTTTCGTTCCCTTCCTTCCTGACACTCAGGTAGAACCCAGGGCCTCGGGCATGCTGGCTGTATCCTCTAGCCGGGAGCTACAGCCATCCCAGGGCTGCTTTCTCTGAGGCTTCTGTCCTGGGCTGGCAGAGGCCACCTTCTCCTGCGTCCTCCCGTGGCTGTCCTTCTGTGTGTCCTGCGTCTGTGTCCTAACCTCCTCGTAGAAGGACACCAGTCGTGTTGAACTCGAGCCCACCCCACTGACCCGTCTTAACCACCGAGTAATTTTGCCACCCTCCATGAGCAGTCACAGCCGGGGCTCCCGGGAGGAAATCTGGGGACAATTCACCCGGCACCATCTGAGGACTCCTGACGGTTCCTAAAGGAGTTCGGGACGCCCCTGAGAGGGGTAGGGCAGAGCCAGGCTAGGGCCGGGCACAGAGCCCAGCCCTTTGGCCAAGCGCAGCCGCCCTCCGCCACGGGCGCGTCCAACGGCCTGCACTGACCTTTGTGCCGCAAGGTGGACACAGCGCCTTGCCCAGGCGGACAGCCCAGTCACAGCCCGTGGCCTGCGCCGCCACACCCTGCCACAGCACGTACCCCGCCGCACACTCCAAACCAATAAAGTTTTCTATTTTGGTTACTTCAGCGACACCTCCGTGAAGGTCTGTCCCCGCCTCCACTCTGTTCTTTCAGTTTGGGGAGGGAGGACAGCAGAGATCCCTGTGGGCCGGGGCCCAAGCCACCGGGCCAGGTGCCGCCTGCCACCTGGTGGACACGGGGGCGATGACCATGGGGCAGACCCACAGGCACGGGCAGGGGGAGCCTAGGTGGGACGTGCGACCAGGCCAGAGCCGAGGCCTAGGGAGGCTGGACGACCAGACCGCAGGAGGAGGGAGTGACCCCGAACTTGGGTGGCCGGGAGAGACCTCGGGCTGTGGGGAGACCTCCCCACTGCCAGACCCTGGGCTCAGAGCGCTGGGTCTGCCCTTCCAGCTGAGAGGGGCAGCGCCCCGCCTGGGCTGGCAGGACAGAAGGAGAACTGCGCTTCCAGTAGGCATTGTGGGTTCAAGCCCTTTGGGAGAGGAAAGCAAGCAGACTAACAGGTATGGAGGGCAGAGACCCGGTGCCGCCCACGGGGAGCAGGGGCGGCCGCCGACCCTGGTGTCCCCCGGCCCGGGGCTAGGCCTGCCCTCCCGCAGCCTGGAAAGGTTAAGACCCGGCCTCTCCTCTCCGCTCCTGGACCTTTGACCGCTCCCGGCCCCTCCCCTGCCCTCCTCGGACACCTTTGCCCGGTGACGTCATCAGTCTGTCCCGCGCAGACCTGGCCTGAGGCTGGGCCGGGTTGGGGCTGCCATGTTCTCCCTGCTGCCCCTCCCCTCCTGGCTCCCCGGCCTCCCCTCCCTGGAGTGGGGCTGCAGCCTCCTGGATGGGCTCCTGCAAGGTGAGTGCCGGCTCCCACCCTGCTGGGCCCCGCCCTCCCCCGCTACCAGGTGGGCCCACCCACTTGGGCCTGGCCGCCTGGCCGCCCTGGTACCAGCCCTGCCTCCTGTCCCCGTTCTCCTAATGCCCACTGGCCTGGGCCTCCTCCCTTCCTCCCTCGCTCCGTCCTCGCAGGCCTCGTCGGGGCCTTCGGGGTCTCCGTTCTGAACAGCCTCCTGAAGGTCTACTTCTTCGTGGGCTGTGCCAAGTGAGTGCCCCTGCCCGAGCCCCTTGCCGAGCCCTCAGCTCTCTGCGGAGGCTGAGGCTGGTGGCCCTGCTCTCTGCCCTGACAGTGACCCCAAGCGGCGGACAGAAACGGAGCGGCTTCGGGCCCAGTGGGCCCTGCTGGAGACCGTGCACCTGGCGGGCCTGGCCCTGTTCCTGACCATCGTGGGGGTCCGGGTGGCTGCCCTGGTGGTGCTGGAGTTCTCCCTGCGGGCCGTGTCCACGCTGCTGTCACTGCGCAAGGTGAGACTGCGGGGCAGGTGGGTCACCCCCGGCCCTGGCCCCTGGCACGGGAAAGCTGGGCCCTGTCGTCTGGGCCCCCTTTTCCCTGGGGCTGAGAATAAGGTTTCCGTCTGACGGCCAAAGTCACTTCTCCATTCACACCCGAGACAGCGCCAGTCCCAAGGAAACAACGCCGGCTCTGTGTGCGGAGCCTCCCCGAGCCAGGCTCTGCGCTGGCTCTTTTGAGGCCATCGTCTCATTTCGTCCTCACAGCCAGAGGGGGCAAGGGTTTGCTGCGTGATCCCCACTTTACAGACAGGGAGACTGAGGCTCCGAGGGAGCACACAGCCTGTCCGTGGTCACCCACCAGCGAGGGTGGTCAGGTGTGAATCCAGGGCTCTGAGGCTCTGAGTCAGCTCCCTGCAGCTATGGGATGGGCAGAGGGGTGGTGCCCAGGGCCCCTTCGGGCTCCAGTCCTCTGCCGTTGGACAAGACAGCCACTGCCCGCCACTTCCTGCAGGACTCCCGGGGCCTAGAGACGTTGCAGCTCTACCTACTGAGCCAGTACGCGCTGGGCTGCGGGCTGAGCTGCGGGCTGAGCTTCCTGCAGGAGGGCGCCCCGCACCGCACGCTCAGCCTGCTGCTCAGCCTCGCTCTGGCCGCGCTGCTCCGCGCAGGCGCGAGCCGCCTCTGCCACCACGTCTGCCGCCTCTACGAGCTGCACAGCAGCCAGCGCTACTGTGGGGTCTGCCTGGGCCTGCTGGCAGGGGCTTACCGCCTCCCCGGACTGCTGGGCCGCGCCCTGGCTGTGGCCTTCGCCGTGGGCAACCTGGCGGCCGTGGCCCTCATCAACCAGGACTTCCTGAGCACCTCGGAGGCCGTGCGCTTTTGGACGCCGCTCACCATATGCTACACGCTGCTGGTCATCTACATGCAGGGTGAGGACCTGGGGCCGGGGTCCCTCCGCCAGGTGCAGAGGAGAAGCCTCGCACTGATCACCTCGGGGCACGTTCAGCAGACAGCAGTGGGAGCCGGGACATCGTCCTGCCGACGCCACAGGAAGGGCTGAGGCTGGCCAGGCTCCCAGGCAGCCCCGTGCGAGAGCATGCACGTTTCTAAGAGGGGAGAGGGATCCGGTCAGATCCGGCCTCTAGGAAGAGCCGTCTGGCTGCAGAGGGCCAGGAGGACAGTTCAGACAGACAGAACAGACAGTGCAAATGCCCTGAGGTGGGAATGAGCACAAAGGAAGCCAGGATGGCTGGGGGTGATAGGCAAGAGGGAGTGAGTCAGAGACAGAAGCTGGGGGTGGGCTTGGGCCAACTCCAAGCCAGCCAATGAGGCAGGATCTCTTTTTTTCCGAAAGTAGTAGGAAGCCCTGGAGGGCTATCAACAGAGGAATGACCTCATCTTGTTGACATGATTAGCTGGTCAGCAGACACTGGATTGTAGGGTCAAAACTGAAGCTGAAAGCCGGGAGTAGTGGCACACACCTATAATCCCAGCACTTGGGAGGCTGAGGCAGGAGGATCGCTGTGATTCCAGGTCAGCCTGGGCTACAAAGTGAGCTCAAGGCCAGCCTGAACAGCATAGTGAGACCCTGTCTCAAAACAAACAAAAGAACCAAATCTGGGAGGCCTTGAAGGAGGCCGCTGGCAGGCAGAAGGCGGCTGGGCTTGAGGTGAGTTTGGTGGACGGAGCAGACAGGGACATGTGGGAAAGAGAAGAATTGGCGTGACCCCTGCCCATGCCAGTGGGTCTGCAGGGTGCAGGCTGGGCAGCATGCCGGGGGAGGCAGGAGTCCCTGGCGCCTCCAGGTGTGCACGGAGGAGTTGGGGATGGAGGAGGGTGGCCCGGGGACGCGGTCAGGCCTGGGCAGCAGCAGTGGGTGGGCCGTGACGGGCCCCACGTCCCCAGAGGAGCAGCGGCAACAGCGTTTCAGCATGCAGAGCCAGGTGCAGACGGTGCTGGTGCGCATGGGCGGCCTCTTCGTGCTGCTGCTGACCGTGGGCCGCTGGCTGGACTTGCTGGGCCTCCTCGTGTCTCTGCTGGGCGAGCTCTGGTGCCTGGCGGGCGTCCGCACCCTGCTCGACCTCTGCCAGATCCAGGTGGGTGGGAACCCCCGTGTGGTTCCCCCAAGCCAGATGCCCTGCTCCAGAGGGGCCTGGGGGCCTGAGAGGCCTGAGTTCAAGAGGTGGGGTGACTGCTCTTGGGGCACAGGTGGAGGGAACTGGAGCCAGTTCTCCTCCCCACCCCGTAGCTAGGCCCAGGCTGTCGCCCACAGAACTAGGAGCAGGGGCACCGCACCCTGCATGCACCCCAGGGGCTCCAAGCAGGAAGACAGTCCCCAGTGATCTGGGGCCTGGGGATGGCTGGGGCAGGAAATGAGTGGTTCCTACACCCGCCCACCCAACCCCACAGGACTTCCCATCCCAACCTGCAGCATCAGTGCCCAGCCAGACCCTGCAGTCGGCCCCCACTGAGCCCCAGAAGGCGGCACCGTCCTGACTCTCCCAGGGAGGACCGGACTCGGTCCCGGGCCCTCAGAGCCTGAGTTTCCAGGCCTGAACCTCTGGCTGCTGCCCAGAGGCAGAGCGACAGGGCTGGCTCCAGCCGGACTTCGTGACAGGCCCTGGGGTGCCTGGGAAGGGGAGCAGGGGCACCTGGAGGCCCCTGAGTTAACTCCAGGTGGGAAGTGGATGCAGCCCCCATGGAGGATGGGGTCAACGGAGTCCTCGGAGCGGCTTCTCCCTTTGCTGGCCTCCCTTCCTGCTCCATGAACAATAAAGATGAATTTCTCAACCTGAGTTTAGGGTTACAAGGTCATGGAGAGAGAAAGAGGCTTTTTAGCCAGGGCAAGCGGCTCACATCTGCAATCCTGGCACTCTGGGAGGCTGAGGCAGGAGGATCAAAAGTCTGAGCCCAGCCCAGCCATCTTAGTGACACCCTGTCTCAAAATTTAAAATTTTTTAAAAAGGCTGGGGATGTAGCTCAATGCACAGGCCAGGGTTCAATCTCAAGCTCCAGGAAAGGAAAGGAGAAGAGAGGGGAGGGGAAGGGAGGGGAGGGGATGAGAGAGAGGAG